TGCTTCAGTTTGTGCCCGTTGCCCCTTGTCCTGTCGCTGGGCACCACTGAAAAGAGTCTGGCCCCATCCTCCTGACACCCACCCTGCAGATATTTATAGGCATTTATTAGGTCCCCTCTCAGCCTTCTCTTCTCCAGGCTGAACAAGCCCAGCTCCCTCAGCCTTTCCTCATAGGAGAGATGCTCCAGTCCCCTCATCATCCTCGTAGCCCTCCCCCGGACTCTCTCCAGTAGCTCCTCATCTTTCTTGACCTGAGGAGCTCAGAACTGGACACAGTACTCCAGACAACCACCACTTCTTACCACCACAACCCTGGTACTCTAAAAAGCAAGCACATCTTGAGCCAGCAGAATTCTGGAAGATTATATTGTACATAGACAACCACATTTATTTATACATTTGCAGACTCATCTCACCATAAAGCAGCGCTGGTGAATGTGATGCAAAAGGTTATATGAGGAGTTTTGCAATGGCACTGGGGACTGAATGAGTTTCCTTAGCTTGTAACAGTTTTATAACACCTTAGCAGAAGTCCCCGGTTTCCTTCCCATGCTTTTATTCCTACGCTTGCTGCAGAACTGCGGAGAACCTGCAAGACTGCAAGCCTTCCTTTAACGACACGCCGCAGCTTTATATAAACTACCACCACTTTTTTTCCCCAAACTCCCTGCCCGTCAGTCGCCAGCGCCCTGACCTGAGGTTCAGCACACGCTTTGGTTGCCGATAGCTCAAAGGCGTACAGCTGCCACACTTCCCCTGCTCTTGCCGTTGTCGTAATCTCCTCCAGCACGAGCTGTTACCACTCAGGGGCTTCTTTTTTCAGGTAATGAAGTCAGCAGATATTATTAATTTTTGGAGAGGGATGAGAAGAGGTGGAGAATCTGCTTCACACTCACTTTGTTTCTAACCGATATAGTGACTTCTTACGTTACATGAAAGAGAAACCTTGCTTTCAATTTCCCCCGCTGTGCTTGTCACTTTTTAATTGGGCATGATCTGATAGAGTAATTCGCACTTTCACAGCTCAGCCCTGCCCCTACATGCAATTTGACAATGCCCTTGAAGCACACAGCTTAATTTATCAGCATTATTCAATGACAAAAAGTAATGGACAAGAATACACCACTAGTCAAAAGTAGGTCAGTACAAAGCTAACACTCATTTGGAAATCACCTCACATCACTAAACCCTACTCTCTCCTGTCAAATGTTTTAACTACATGAAAAGAAATGCAAACTTTGCTGCTGAAGGAGAAAGCTCCCCAGACTAGCTTTGTCTCCTTGCCTTCTTCTGCACGTAATAGGAAAAGCTGCGACCTGGAGATTTTGCTGGAAGGAAAGCACCGCTCAAAAACCCGACGGAGGTTACCTCCCTCGTCCCAAACTGCAAGCAGCACTGCAACAAACACAGAAATGCTTCCGGCCCTTTAGATCATCCATTTGCAATAGAAGACAAGCAACAAATTAACACCTTTTTTTGTTCTCATTTAATGATTCTATTCACTATCACTTCATAGCAAAAAATTGCAAACAGGAAGCTGTGCACGCCTGCAATCTAGCTAAGGAAGTACTAGATGACAGAGAAAAAAAGAGTAATCATAATTTCTGAGTTTCTTTTCTGCATAAACATGCCCAATGGTTTATTTTTACATTTAAGTGAATGGGATTGCTTTTTTCATCAGTTCTCTGGGGATTTACAAGCCTAGCTCATATTGGTCTTGAAGGGAGTTATTAAAATAAAGAAGTATAAATACTCACAGAAGATCAGACACCAGGGTATTTGTTAAGACCAAAAATAGAATTTTCTTGTGAAGCTTTAATTGAAGAAAACTGTTTCAGCATTTCTTTCTCTTATTTTATCATATATTTTTCTTCCTACTTACAACAGCAGACAAAGTCCAACCTTGGAATCAGACCCGGTCAGACAGAGCTGAGGGGCAGCGGTGAGCTTCTGTGGTGGCCTTCTGGTTGTTACCAAGCATAAATCTCCCACTTTAGAAGCTGCATAAATATCTTCCAATAATTAACCTACACAGCGTTCTTTAAAAGTCACATGAAGTGGTGTTTCTCATCTGAAAGTAGCCCCACTGGCGTAATGCTATTGCTATTACTTATAAATATTACTTGAGCCTGCACGCGAAGGTGTATCATCATTTTTATCCTTCTGTTGTAGTCCTCACAAATTGACCTTACAAAGACATATAGACCATGACATATGCTTTAGATTCTATGACCAGTATTTTCAAAAAACTTTCTAAAATTGAGTATCTGACAGGAGACACCTTGAACCCAGTGTCCATATGGAAGCTCCAGATATGGATGCCTGGCACCCCAGAGGAAGCAGTCTTTAAAATTGAATTAGGTGCCTCAAAAAATTGAAAGCCAATATCACAGCAGTTCTTAAGTGCTAGCCTACAGGTCTGTAGCTCTCTACCAGACAAGGGAGCCACACCTTGAGTCACAGAATCACAGAATGTTCGGGGTTGGAAGGGACCTCTGTGGGTCACCCAGTCCAACCCC